TCTCTGGTTTCAGTCTGTGGCTATTGGCTTTACAAGGTTTGAAGTAATATCAAAATGCACTATCCACTTTCCCAGACAGAACTACTATCCCATAACCTTAACAGCATATTATTGAGACAGAAAATCAGGTAGCTAAACAGGACCCCAAAAATGTGTTTTTTTCAACATTTTAACAAAAGTTCTGGAGGCAGTGGAGCTTGCTAAGGGAGAATAAAACTGTTCCAACTGTAAGAGAAAATCATGAAAAGGAAGAAGTCAGCAGATTAATAGGGCAAAAATCACCAACAGTAAGGTGTGAAACAACCAGTCTATTGGCCACATGTCATTCATTAATGGCTCAGACCAGTGAAGGATTTTAAGAAAGAATCAGGATGAGAAGTGAATCCTCGATGTTGAGAAATTTAACAGATACCAGAGAAGAACTGTCTTCCTTGTCCCCGGTAAAGGGGACCATTTCTCACAATTCGTGTGCCCGGTGGTGCTTTGCTCTCTGTAATATTTTTCTTTAAGCCTCTAATGCTCTGTTGGGAATGCTTGCTTTAAGAAAATTTAAGTGGAAAACTTAAGTTACTTATGGAAATAAATTTTACGTAACATCGGGGTTTTTCACATCTGGTGATGACAAAAAAGAGCACGCTCAGACAAAAGCACTGCTTACCGGCAGGTGACTAAGTGGCACATCCACTTGGCCCAGGAAGTCGTCTCTAGTCTGTCAAATAGAGAAAAAAAGGCAGAAAAAGGAGTAATTTTACCTCTAAGGTCATCTTTACATCAGAAAAGCAAAAAATTATAAACATCAATCCAATCACAACGAAGCAAAAATAAAGATGATTGAGTACCATTATTTTAGCAATTACTGGTTTTTACCCCCTTATTATTTCACATTATCTGTTGTTACAATTTATCTCTTTCAGCAGAGCATTTTCTGGGAGAGTCCAAAATGGCTTCTCAGTCCACAGTGTGTACGTTAAGTACTGATGAAATTCTGTTTCCTCTGACAGCCTATGCATAATTCAAAGCACAAATAACCTGCTCTTTTCATGAATTAGTCTCCACATGCATTAAAAAGCAGAGTGAAATTACTGTTCACTACATCATTGAAATGTTCATGTCAAACCTTGGTGGCTTCGTCTTTTTTTTTTTTTTTTAAAGGAACAACCTCATGTTCACATCTAATAGAGAAGGGAGGGGAACCCAACATCCAAACAGTGACGATAGAACTGCATGAATTGCAAACATTTTGCCCCAAAATAAAAATGTGTTTCATCACTTTACCAAACAGAAACCAAAGTATTAGACCTTTTTGTTCTTTTTAAAGAATGCTGTTCCATTAATTCAGAATGCTTACTTTGGGAGGAACAGTTAGACACCCTTACAACCAGCCTGTTGAGTAATCCTGTATTTCCCTCTTGAAGACTCGACCATTCAGACGCCACTTCAGGTTAAGCATGTGGATGTGGTTATACCATCCTTCGGCCACACAGCGCCATCACAAATTCACTTATGCATAGTTAGGTCCGTACAGAAGTGTTAAATATTTTCTGCATGTTCTTCACTGTCTGTTGGATCACCACCTTCTCTCACAGTGAACAGTCCAAAGGTACCATCTCCCACGAAGGTAACGCTGACAGCGGGACCTGGTCTCCATCTAACTATACCTTTATGACTCTGTGTTTGAAGCATTATTCGTAACTCCACCGACAATATTCCATACCTGTTTTACAACTATGAAGATGACAGGATAAAGAGGACCCCTCAAGGTCTAGAAGTTCAAAAATCTATCTGACCTTTGAAGTACTCAGTGATTCTTGAAGATGCGCAGACTAGACTGTATGTGGTAGCCTAATCACCCATTCATACCTACCACTTTAAAGAGGATAAAAATTCACACAAGGTATCTCAGTGCACTTCTAGCAATCCACTTACAAGGACAGTGTATCAGGTTTGCGTGGCAAGGTTTTGGCAGTGGTGGGGGCTGCAGGGGCGGCTTCTGTGAGAAGCTGCCAGAAGCTTCCCCTGAGTCCGATAAAGCCAGTGCCAGCCGGCTCCAAGACAAATCCGCTGCTGGCCAAGGCCGAGCCCATCAGCAACAGTGGTGGCCCCCCTGTGATAACATATTGAAGAAGGGAAAAAATACAGCACACAGCAATTGCATCTGGAAGAGAGGAGTGAGAATATGTGAAACAACTCTGCAGACACCAAGGTCAGTGGAGAAGGAAGGGGAAAAGGTGCTCCAGCCACCAGAGCAGAGACTCTCCTGCAGCCTGGCGTGAAGAGAGGTGAGGGAGGGTGGGCCCCCGCCGCC